AGGGGGGAAAGCAGACTTTTAAGCATGATTATATTAGTCTACTAAACCTTATATCCGTTTAAAATAAAACCAAGGAAAGGAATTCTGAATGTTGAAATGTGTAAAAACCGAATAAAAATAATTTTTTTAAAAAGTGATTTAAATCACTGATTTTTATCAAAAAAATCAAGTTGATTTAAATCAAAAAAATCAACTGATTTAAATCAACCCAACCCTGAGTAACTGTTGGTGCAAGTTCGATCAGTGCATAAACCGTTTAACGTAATAAATAAAGCCTTTTGTGAGCAAATCTCTTTGACAACGCTCCTTCTTGTCTCTCCTATTAGAAGTTATTGATGATACCTATCCTATCGGTAGTCGTTATCAAAATGACTGATTAGAAATAGTTATCGACCCGTTGATTGATATAACTGATTTGTTAGGTGTCTATATGCATAACTCAAACTGTGTCGTTCAAGTAATTGTGCACGCTCTTTAAACTGGTTATATTATATTATTTTATATATTATATATTATTATATGGGTGCGGTGGTTGGCGGGTGCTTCTTTCCTATCAATTGTCTATCTTCCTTCTTTCCTATCGAATACCTATCGTCCTTTTCTCTCCTTCTTTTTTGTGTAGTTTGTTACTCTCTTGAAACGGCTCTAATCTTCGGCATTTATATGTCCTAGATGTGTTGCAAGTACCGTAAAACTCTTACTAAAACTTTTTTTTAACCCATAACATGTTATATTAAGGGAGTTCTTCCAGCAAATAAGTGTCCCGAAAGATAGGTCTCAAATTGTCTTTTCTCTGTGTCCTGTCCTGTTCAAGAAATAAAGTCACTTCCCACTGCCTACAAAAGGCAAGAACATGGCATGATATTCCGTGTGTTTAGTTGTGTCTTTTTTATCAGGCCAAAGTAGCTACAGAATGTGTTTTGTATCAAGAGCTTGAATAACGTCTTGCCTGCTGGGTTCTGCCTACCATCTGTCCATCCATTTCTGAAAGGGCAGGCGAGGGGGAATGTGTTTATACTTTGCTATATAATGTTTCGCCTCTTGTTCTTGAAAGAGAAAATACATGTACAAGAAGACATTACTGATGAGGAAGGGTGACAGAGTTGCAATAGTTTTCCCCTCTCCCCCCCCCCCCCCCCCTCTTTCTCTCTCT